GCTAGAGGTGGGAAACACCTCAGCTACTGTGCCGTAATACATAGAAAAATGGAGAAAAAAAGCAACTGGTGCAAGCTGGCTGGGCTACCGGTAACGGATGGGCATCGTTCTGGTAAGCTACCAGCCGGCTACTGTGCATCAAAAAAATTGCTATGCAAAATTATATAAGGCTAAATGATGAGATCGTGGTTGGAGGGAGAGACTAAGAAGGATGGGGTGGGACAAAGGAACTCACAGCACGAACGCCACTGAGGTCGGCTCCTAGCCATATCAGCAAGTGTGTCCAACCAAACGTGTTCATCGTCTTTCGGACCCCAACCAGGGAGCCGAGACGCTCCAACCGAGGCCAGCTCAGAAGTGAGGGCCTTCATTCCTCTTGACCAAGTCATCGCTTGGCCACCCCCCTCTTCTTACATCCACACCCCCGGCGCGCAAACAACGCACGTCGCGGGAGTCGGTGGGCTGGCATGCGCAATACGTGGCCGAGCCATCGGAGCCTGGTGCGTGAAATAACGGTGCTGAGCGGTTCATTTCCTTTCCCTGTGCCGTAAACAAGGCGTCGAACACGCTCGTTGCTTACTCAGTGTTCCCACCAGATGTGAGCTAAATTGCGAAGGCACCGATGGTCGAACGTAACTAGCCTCTTCAGGTCCGCTGCTTTAAGCGGCCAGGTTTCACAACCGTACAGTAGGGTCGAACGTACCGCTGCATTGTACACTCTACCCTTCAGGGCGAGGGTGATGTCGCGCCGGCGCCATAAGTGGCGAAGGTTAGCAAAAGCGCCCCGAGCTTTTGCTATACGGTTCGTGATTTCATCTTCAATCCCACGGGCGCTGATACAACTTCCCAGGTAGTTGAATTTTTGAACGACTTCTAGCTGATCCCCACCAAGGGTCAGCGTAGGAGGCGGTCCAGATCAATCATGGAGGAACGCTTTGCATTTCGAGGGTGCGAAGCAAAACCCGAAGTGACGGACAGCTAGTGCTTATCTGTCCAGTGCCGCTTGGCACGGCTGGGAGCTGTCAAAGATGAGGGCAATATCATCAGCATACTCTAAATCAAGAAGTCGTTCCCCTAGGAGCAGATCCACACCTTCGAAGTCGTGTCCTGTAAACGCGATTTCCATGACTTCGTCAACAGCGAAGTTGAAGAGGAAAGGTGACAGCGGGCATCCTTGTCTCACATCGCTGGAGATATGAAAGGGCGACGACAACTTGCCGTAAGCCCTCACTCTGCCCAAACTACGCGCATATAATGCTCGGATAATATTTATATATTTCTCAGGTACACCTTTCCTGAGTAGACAGTCCCAAAGTGCAAGTCAATCCACTGAATCGAATGCACCTTTGATATCGAGGAACACGACAACGGTGGCCGCCAATATATATGACGGTGCTCCAACAACTGACGCAAGGTGAAGATGTGGTCAATGCATCCACGACCTCGACGAAACCCGGCTTGCTCTTCACGAATCTGGCTTTTACGCGTGCCAGTCAGTCTGTGAAGCATGACAGAGGCAAGCAATTTGGAGGCGACGGTGATCAGACTGATTCCTCTGTGGCTGCCGCATTCCGATCGTGAGCCTCCATTGAAAATTCGGACTACGACGGAGCGACTCCAGTCGGTTGGGACAGTTTCCTGCTCCCACAGTATAACTAGCAATGCGTGTAAATCATCCACAAGAGCAGGTCCCCCGAATTTGAAGAGGGCTGGAGGTAGGTCCTCAGGTCCAGCGGCTTTATTTAACTTCAACATTCCGATCTCACTTTCGACTTCTGAGCGAGAGGGTGGATCCAAAGGGACAGCCCAGGGAGCGGGGCGATCAGTGGCCGGCGAGAAATCTAATTCCGGTCGATTAAATTGCCTTTCAAAGTGCTCAGACCAACGCTCCAATCGTTTTGACAAGTTGTGTATAGGCTGTCCACTTTCGTCACAAATTGTTTCATTAACACCAGTTCTCCTGCTGTCCGTTTCCCGTATCAGACGGAATAACTTACGATGGTTACCAAGGCAACGGCAATTTCCATCTCTGATGCACGATGAGACCACCAAGATTTGCGGTCTCTCTTTAGGCTAACACCGATATTTGCCCGGAGCTCTTTGCGAGTTTCATTCTGTTCGCTTCCAGCCGGAATATGCCGGCGAGCATCGATAAGTTCCAGAGAATCTGAAGAGACCCAATGTCCATGTTGGCGAGTGAACATACCACAGACGATTTTCCTGCTGCAAGTAACGTCTGGTGAATATGAGACCATTGACCTTCAATTGCGTCCAGTAAGCGTTTATCCTACTCGCATGTCAGCGTAATTTGATAGGCATTCAGAACAGCTGGCTTCGCCATTTGGCTGGTGTCGATGCGCTCACAACGTCGTCTTGGGCGTCCGCCAAAGCGCATCCGCAGGTCGGCACATACAAGTGCATGATCGGTGTCCACACCTGTGCTCCAAATCGAGCGACAGTTCTGGATGCAGCCTCTCCAGCGGTAACTGATTGCACTGTGATCGATTTGCGTCCAAGGCTGGTTCGAGGCTGGTGGGCGCCAAGTCACCCTCCGGCGGGTGCTGTGTCTGAAATTAGTGCTCGCAAGAAATAAGCGAGCATCCTCACACAAATGAAGTAACCGCTCAACGTTATCATTACGGGAGCCTACACCATCTTGGCTGCCCAGATGCAGCTCATCTGTGGATAATTTTCCAACTTGAGCGTTCAGATGCCCGGCCAGCACAACAGTGTCCGAGCTTCTTCTGTGGCTAAGGAGCTCCTTCAGTTGACGATAGAAGTCGTCTTTTACCGAGTCATCGCTATAGTTTTCGGTGCATAGGCAGCGATAACGAATAGACGCCTGTTAGTCCCACGCGACTTCGAAGTTTTGAACGAGCCAGCCAATCGGACCGCACATATCCGGCTTCTGCTTGGAATCCCATCAACCAGATCAGTTTCAGCCTGGGGACTCAGGGCAATACCAACACCGGCTTGGCCAGTGCTGGAAGCTGCATCGTCACCGGATAGGCGCATTGAGAAAGTGCTGCGAGTGTCACCTGAAGGGGATCGCAGAGTGAGCACAGAGCTCGAGTCTTGCAGGCGGGTCTCCGATAGGCAGCAGATGTCGATCGAGAGGGTCTCTAATGTTCGGGCAAGTGCTACCTGTTGACCGATCTGAAGCAATGTGCGAACGTTGAGGCATGCCAATCTGAAGGAGGATCGAGGGCTCCAAATGGAAGCCGATGAACTGGAATGGACCGCTTGGTTGGACTTGGGCCTGTTGACATGTAAATCACATTAGACCCCTTTTGATGTCCAAAAGACCCCCCAAAAGAGGAAGCTTCACCACCTTTGTACACTTCTGGATACGTAACAAATTACCGCGTCTGCAGATCCTGTCGTCCAAGCAGAAGACGAAACTACAGATCGAAGATACTCAGAGAGAATCAGAGCGCTAGTGCAGAGACTCGAGGTGAACCCAAGACGTAAAACACACCAATCAAACGTGGCATGCTACTCGGTTCAGTTTAAAGGAGGGAGGAGTTAGACGGGCTTGCGCTTCACAGCCGTCCACAGCTAGATAGTTTGATATTCGTGACTGCCTTGTCACCTGATTGTGTTGTACACACGCACGACAGTCGTTCAGATGTATAGACCGCTCACCATTCATTACTAGGTCCTTCATGTGGTTGGCCAATTGATATATTTATCCTTTGCATCCCGGTTGCTCAGCTTTGTCAGGTTTTCTATCCAGCTCGTCCGGCACGGTGGTGTTCTTGCTTCCCGTTCTGACTGGGTTCAGTGGCAGTAAGCAGTTAGCATAGTCGTACTCCCGGTTGTTACTGCCACCTTGTTTCCGCCACTAACCAAATAAATCTCTTAAAACAAACAGCATCTCACGGTATTCAGTGCATCACATTTTGGCACCTGGGTGATGAATGCACTGACGTTAACGAAGAACATCATGTTGGTTTCACATGAATTCATGAGTACTTTACAACAGTATTCGTCCAAACTTCAAAGGCTGAACTGCGCTAAGGATGGTCTATAGAGCAGAAAATGACTAACCTCCGCAAAAGCAGATGAAGGTATCAAGATAATTAGTGCAATGCCTAGCTCAGGTCTTGTAGGCGGGTTTCCGATAGGTGGCAGATATAGATCGAGAGGGTCACTAATGTCCTGGAAAGGGCTACCTGTTAATCGATCTGTAACAATATGCGTACGTTGAGGTATGCGAATCTGAGGGAGGATCGGGGCTCCACATAGAGGCCGATGAACTGGGCTTAACCGCTTGGTTACACTTGGCTTGTCCATAAGGCAAGCGTGACGCTATTCATTTACATGTGAGTTGAAACTAGAAGATAAATGCTTATCAAAGCATGATGGGGGAGGACCAAGAATTGTGGGGTTGAAAACGGGGGATAGAAGTGAAGTTGGAACGAGACGATAAGGTTGAAATGCGTAGAAAGGGGAATAAGAAGACAGGAAGGCTTGAGCAGTAGCATCCAAACCCATATCCACTCTGCTCGATGCAGCAGTTAGGGCACTGTTGATTATCTTCTGCGGTGGCCATAGCATCAGGAAATTATTTATGGAAAGGTTCATAGTAATGCGTGGGCGGGAAACTGTCAGGCTGCCAGTTCCTCTTGGTGGCGCGGGTTGCCACGACTCGAACGTGAAGTTGGATGCCATCAGACAGTGGAGACTAATACATGTGGAAACTGTCTAGACAAATTACGTCAAATAGTACAGCAGCGCGCCGTCGGAATTGCGCGCATTCGTCCTAGTAATATTACAATGATCTGCCCATAATACACGGCTGTCTAGTAGGTCTCGTCTTCGATTATTGTTCATATAATGGACGCGTCTAGAAGGTCGTCCGTAGAAGTTATCGATTCGCTTGTACGTGCCCGACCCTGATGCGATCCACCTGGAAGATCACATCCTGAATTCTTGTTCGCAGGCACATTCTCCATATACAAACTTGATCGCATGCGTGCACCCCACAGATAACCGAACTATATTGATGAATGGAACCTAACCTTAAATACACTAGAAAACTGACCTTCAATTGTTGTGGCGTTGCGCCTTGTTCCAAGCTTTATTTGCTGAAAGAAGTTAAAACGGAAATTACTGATGGCTTGGATGGCGAATAGGTATTCGGATGAAACCGCTCGAGTAACTATTCCGCATGGAGGCAGGATGCGATTCAAAGATGGCTCCATATCTTTACTTTCCTTTTTGATAATAAATATCTCACTTCTATTACAATTTCCCATTCATGAGCGCAGTTTCTCAACCATCCACAATATCCCACGTTGGTCGTCGCCTGGCTCATCAAAGGTAGCCTTATCTGCTGTTTACGTTAGGGCGGATATGAGCAAACGTTCTAATATTGCAGACAACCATCATTATTTTCCACTTTTTTATCTTACTTCACGCCCGACCCCATTTACTAAACTTCTTTCCAGCATTTCCGGCTTAAATGACTGCTGCCGTAATGCAGCGGGATCCACATCATCCAACGCTGAGTTCCCACACCACCCACTACAAGTCTATCTGCTGCAGTCCCTATAAGACGACGCTACCGGTTATCTATCTGCCTGGAAAGTGCAACTTTTAAGGGGAACTACGTCACCAAGACACAGTAGCACAAACTTTGGACACACTTGCTATTTACGTGTTTTGATTATCCGAAATTTGGATCAATACCTCTAACAGTGGTGTCGAAATAACTGAGTCCGTCTTGTTCTATCGCTATTGGTCGCAAGAAATTTGAGAACAAGAAGCGACAACTACGGGTCAAGCTGTGGTTGACAGCGTTCTCAACTCCAATATTGAGTCACTTATGGTAGATTTGGTTTCCCGGATTTGCCGTTTGTGCGCAACCAGTTTAGTGCCATCATCTGAGCGTGATTCACGAAGAAGTACAAGTCGAATCATGCTGTTGTTTGCATCTCATGCAGACAAGTAAAACTAAACCCGCTACTACGCATTGCTAGGGAATACGAGCCGCAAACGCGGGACAATTAGAATGTTATTTTGGACTACTGCCACATTAACCACCTATACACAACAGGCAAGGCTTGCTTGAGTATCACGCATCTATGTCGCTAACATTGCTGTGGCTCTCTGAGGCTTATTGGCTATGCGCCCAAGGTTGGAGGGGACTGATCATAATTGACACTGATGTCCGTTCGGTGTTGTTCACGTATGTATGATTTCGCTAAAAGTCTCATTCGGGTTGCAATTTGTCCTCTTTCTGGATGGGGACCTCGAAATCAGGCAAATCAATGGCGAATTGAACCCTTATGTACTACTCTGTCAACAAGTCCGCAGTGATTTCGCATTCTCTTCCTTATTCCCAGGCCATGAAAAGCTAACCGACTGTTATTTCTTGCGTGTTCCTGCGGGATGATTAACCATATTGGTATAAACACTTTCGTTATGTACCTATTATTACTATGGTTTTCTAAGCCTATGGAAGTTGATCCACCAGACATGAGTGCGCGGGTCTTAGGTGTTTGAATGAAATGAACGTAGTAACCATGCTTCAGTTGAAACTGCGTTGAGGAGATATAGCTTGCAAATGCCTGCTACCGTCGGGTATGGTCTTTTTAAAGTAACGATAGGATATTTCATTCATCTGCAACTACCACTATGGGCTACAGTTTAAGGCGGTACATCTTCCTTGGCCACAACACCTTTCCACATTGGCAGGTTATTAAGGCGCCCCGAAGTGCAGCACCGTCAACCAGTTTATTTCAAGCATGGCTCAGGCAATTATTCAATGAAAGGAACGTGTTGTACCACCAAAAACGAATAGAAGCTGAGATAAACAAAACTAACCCTGCTTCCAAGTTGAGGATTGTGGATAATTCTTGGCGTATTCAGTATATGCATTGTGGAGTTTTCGGTTGCTGTTGGGATGGAGAAGTCACAGTCAGGTTGGTTTTGCTAGATAATCCAAACTAGATGGTGTTACATGAAAACCAAATAGGCTATGATAGCAGGTATTCTATGAGTGCTGGGTGTCACAATGTATTTGCACACTATTGCTGCATATCATCTGTCTTGTGAATCAAATCTTTGTAGATAACAAACATGATCATTGACTTCCTACCAAAACGAGTGCTTCGCCACTTTTCGAAAGCTGTTATTCGATGTTATCCATAACATGTCTCACCCGGGTTAACCTCAGGCACTCTAAGATTCGGGATCAGTAAAGAACCGGCGAGTTGGTTCCAAACAAATATGTTTGTCGATGAATTGCGGAGATCTTACCGACTGATCGTGCGTGGGGTGAAATTGATTCCTGACCGCTGTTGACATAAGCTCTGATCACACATAGGAAACCTCCGCGTAACCGGAATTCTGATTTCAAGGGAAGTGATCATAATTGCATGATGGCAGCGGGGATTCCTGCATATGCTGTGTCTAGGACGAGTATTCGTCGCTTGTCCAAGCGGCACTCTGCTTGCATTTTTGAAGGGGCTGTATGAGTTTGTAATGTAGACGGTGCTCAAGACCCCATCAAATGGTACGTCGTTCAACTAACATTTGCGTTCATCTCATATCAATGGATACTTTCTCTGCATGTGTTTTTCATGCGGTATGTTTCTACAACATGTCTTCAACCAGCTACTTAAGCGGCTTCGCTTAACCTATTGAGACTGCGCATAATTCAGACGTCTCCATCTGCAGTGCACATTTGGTGCCTTGGGGTGCCAGGTTGATCAGATATGTACACATACTTCCGTACAACATGAGAAGTAGCCGTTTGGTTTTTGATTTTTCTGACCTTATCTTTTTAGCGTCTGCCTAATTTTTTTGGAAAATTTAACATCAATATAGTGGGCGTACATTAAGTAATAATGCAAACCAATCTGACTGGGACACAAATCTGTCTGTAGGAACAACACGACAGGTAATTTAACTGGCGCGAAATTGAAATAATGGGCCATCTGGAGACCGGCACGTATGCCGATTTTAGATCGGTAATTACGTTTGGATTTTCAGGCAGTCAACTGTATCAATGAATAGGCCACGGCAAGAGGATAATGCTGAGCAAACAGCGAATCGTTACCATCCGTTAGTCCCTACCTGCTTTTGGCTGAAATATTTTCGTCGGAAACAGGGAATATGGATGCGAGCAACTTTGATGGGGTAGGACCTATTTCACTTCCAATTGCTGTTTTCAATGCAAACCCAGCATAAACTATGAATTTGTCGCAATGGAATAACTCGGCGGAACAATTTCATGAAAGAGTTGTGGTAACAACAGATCTCGCGGATAAATGACTGAATCATCTCTTCACCTACAAGGCAATTTGCCGCGCTATCCTAGGGAAAAGACGGATCAACTTCAGCTTCGTGACGCGAATTTCTACGGCTCGAAAATGAAGGTGAATACCATCAGGCGGTAGAGAATAACAGAGTGTCGAAACACTATACCAAATATACGCCAATAAGCACAGCAACGCGCAGTCGGAAGTGAGCGCCTGCGACCTATTAATATTACAATACTCTGCTCATAATACACACTTGTCTAGCAGGTCTCATCTTCGATAGTTGTTCAAATAATGGACGCGTCCAGAAGGTCGTCCGTAGAAGTAATTGATTCGCTTGTACGTGTCAGACCCCGATGCGATCCACCTGGCAGATCACATCCTGAAATCTTGTTCGCGGGCACATTTTCCAGATACAAAATTGATCGCATGCGTGCACCCGACAGGTAACTGAAATATATTGATGAATGGAACCTAACCTGAAATACACTAGAAAACTGACCTTCAATTGTTGTGGCGTTGCGCCTTGTCCCAAGCTTTATTTGCTGAAAGAAGTTAAAACGGGAATTACTGATGGCATGGATTGCGGAAGGGTGTGCGAATGAAACTGCTCGAGTAACTATTCGCATGGAGTCAGGAGACTGTTCCAAGATGGCTTAATATCTTCACTTTCCTGGAGGAATATATTTATATTACTTCAATCACAATCTCTATTTCATGAACGCATTTCCTCAACCAACCAGAATATCCCACGTTGGTGGTCGCATGGCTCATGAAAGGTAGCCTTATCTACCGTTTACGTTAAGGCGGATAAGAGCAAACATGCTAATATTGGAGACAACCATCTTTCATTTCCACTTTTCTATCTTACTCCACACCGGACCCCATTTACTAAACTTATTTCCAACATTTCTGGCTTAATTGACTGCTGCCGCAATGCAGCTGGATCCACATCATACAACGCTGTGTTCCCACACCACCCACTACAAGTCTATCTGCTGCAGTCCATTATAAGACCACGCTACCGGTTATCCAGCTTCCTTGAACGTTCATATTCTAGGGGAACCAAGTCACCAAGACGCAATCGCACACACGTTGGACACACTGGCTATTTACGTATGTTGTTTAACAGAAAGCTGGATAAATATCTCTAACGGTGATGTCGAAATAACTGATCCCGTCTTGTCCTCTCGCTATTGGTCGCACGCAATCGGAGACACAGAAGCGACAACTACGGGTCAAGCTGTGGTTGACAGCGTTCTCAACTCCAATATTGAGCCATTTATGGTAGATTGGATTTGCCGGATTAGCCGTTTGTGTGCAACCCGTTTAGTGTCATCAACTGAGCGTGATTCACGAAGAAGTGCAAGTCGAATTATGCTTGTGATTGCACCTCATGCATACAACAAAAAGTGAACCTGCTAGTACGCATCGTTAGCGAATACGAGCCGCAAACGCGGGACAATTAGGATGTTATTTTGGACCACTGCCACATTAACCATCTGGTCACGACAGGCAAGGCTTGTTTGAGTCCGACGCGTCTTTGTCGCTAACATTGCTGTGGCTCCCTGACGCTTATTGGCTAAGCGCCCAATGTTGGAGGGGGCTGATCAGGATTGACACTGATGTCCGTTCGGTGTTGTTCATGTATGGTGGGAGAATTTTATCAGTACTACGGATGCGCGTTGTCTGACGGTTGACAACAGAACATCTGGTTCATCTTTGGACGGTTTGTTGACCACAAAACGTAAACGGTCTCAGTCGAGTGCTCCGCATGCTAGTGGCATCGCTGCCTCGATGTTTGTTTGCCTCTAATATTTTGTCTATTTGTTTGAACCTTTAAGGCGGCCAAGTATGGACCTGGAAGAATAAAGTGTATAAGTTCGCTGAAAGTCTCATTCGGGTTGCAATCTGTCCTCTTTCTGGATGGGGACCTCGAAATCAGGCAAATCAATGGCGAATTGAACCCTTATGTACTACTCTGTCAACAAGTCCGCAGTGATTTCGCATTCTCTTCCTTGTTCCCAGGCCATGAAAAGCTAACCGACTGTTATTTCTTGCGTGTTCCTGCGGGATGATTAACCATATTGGTACAAGCACTTTTGTTATGTACCTATTATTACTATGGTTTTCTAAGCCTATGGAAGTTGATCCACCATACATGAGTGCGCGGGTCTTAGGTGTTTGAATGAAATGAACGTAGTAACCATGCTTCAGTTGAAACTGCGTTGAGGAGATATAGCTTGCAAATGCCTGCTACCGTCGGGTATGGTCTTTTTAAAGTAACGATAGGATATTTCATTCATCTGCAACTACCACTATGGGCTACAGTTTAAGGCGGTACATCTTCCTTGGCCACAACACCTTTCCACATTGGCAGGTTATTAAGGCGCCCCGAAGTGCAGCACCGTCAACCAGTTTATTTCAAGCATGGCTCAGGCAATTATTCAATGAAAGGAACGTGTTGTACCACCAAAAACGAATAGAAGCTGAGATAAACAAAACTAACCCTGCTTCCAAGTTGAGGATTGTGGATAATTCTTGGCGTATTCAGTATATGCATTGTGGAGTTTTCGGTTGCTGTTGGGATGGAGAAGTCACAGTCAGCTTGGTTTTGCTAGATAATCCAAACTAGATGGTGTTACATGAAAACCAAATAGGCTATGATAGCAGGTATTCTATGAGTGCTGGGTGTCACAATGTATTTGCACACTATTGCTGCATATCATCTGTCTTGTGAATCAAATCTTTGTAGATAACAAACATGATCATTGACTTCCTACCAAAACGAGTGCTTCGCCACTTTTCGAAAGCTGTTATTCGATGTTATCCATAACATGTCTCACCCGGGTTAACCTCAGGCACTCTAAGATTCGGGATCAGTAAAGAACCGGCGAGTTGGTTCCAAACAAATATGTTTGTCGATGAATTGCGGAGATCTTACCGACTGATCGTGCGTGGGGTGAAATTGATTCCTGACCGCTGTTGACATAAGCTCTGATCACACATAGGAAACCTCCGCGTAACCGGAATTCTGATTTCAAGGGAAGTGATCATAATTGCATGATGGCAGCGGGGATTCCTGCATATGCTGTGTCTAGGACGAGTATTCGTCGCTTGTCCAAGCGGCACTCTGCTTGCATTTTTGAAGGGGCTGTATGAGTTTGTAATGTAGACGGTGCTCAAGACCCCATCCAGTTGTACGTAGGCCAACTCTATTTTGCGTTTTTGCGCGACGTTGATAAGGCTAACATTTATGTTTGTTATTTAATATTTAGCTCGGAGCATGAGCTGTACTATAATACGCGAATATTGGACAAATGTCCCGGCTTAATTGAAAAACTTATTAAATGGCAAATTCAAGCAGCATTCGGAACCGCGGCATTTGTCAGCATGTTGCGTAATGGTAGTGTCAGCTACAGCGTTATGAAGCGCGTTCGCACGTAGATGTCATACACCTTCAGCGTTTGAGGATGCATCGAAACACAGAGTTCAGGTATATCAGAGTTTGTCAAGCCGAGTTCATTAATGTATTTGGCGAAATTGGAATGTATCATCCCTCAATTATCAGTAATGACGGGGGTGGGAAATAATATTCATCGTCTCAAGAAATTGTTCGCTTATACATCGCGAGATGGCTGTTACGCTCTCTTTGATCCATATTTATCCGCTTTCATTATGCAAGTACTTTCCATGCAATATGCGTCACAGTTGGCTACCTCCACAATGTGATCCGTGGAATTTTTAACCGTAAGTCAGCCTGGCTTGAAAGTGGTGGCGGTCGGAACCATAGGCTACTTAACAATGCTAGGGCTATGGCGCCGCAGTTGCCGCGCAATCTGTTGCGCAATTTTGTTATGTCTTTTACAGCACACATCATGCGTGATACAACACGCCCGAATAATAGGAGACAAAGTCTCCTTCTCTCCGCAGCTTTCGCTGCAGTGGAGAGAAACCGGGTGATTTTTAGGCCTGCCCCTGCTCCGTCGTGTTTTGCTAAATGGAAAACCCCCGTAGTTGGACACTCGGAAAGAAAAGATCTGGAAATATCCAGGTGTAGTCCTTTAGACAGTGCTGCGCAGAATGCCTCGTGGCCACATTTTGTGAGAGAGCCATCCATTGAAGCGAAGAAGTCATCCCTCCAGGCTTCCGCAAATGAGCTTTGATCCATGACGACGCTATTATCAATGGTAACGGCAGAACGCGCCAGACGTTGGGCAGCCGCGGCTGCAGGGTCACGGAACACCCAACTGGTAATTGGTATTGGATGGTAATTTGCAAGATGCCGTTCCAGCCTATTCTTCGGTAGCACGGGAAATTTCGTGGACAGTCAGGTAATACGCAGACCAAAATTCCCAATGAGAGCGTGAAGCGATACAATTGAGGTGTTTGACAGCAAATCAAACACTTTTGTGCTGGACCTGACAATGCAATCTAACCGCTTCTATGTATCCCGATGAACCACTGAGAGAGGTAACTGAAGAACATGTTTGGGCAGCAAACACATTCACAGAACCTCCAGTCGTTGCTGTGGTTTAAGCAGGGCCTTTGTGACTTCATCGACTTGCACAGTAATGTTGCCAGTTACTGTTGGAGAGGGTTTACCCTTCCAGTTCAATGGCCGTCCCAACATCTTAAACGTTTTATCTGGATGAATAGAGGGGATAAAAGGGTCACAGTCTAAATAATTCGTATCCATTATGGTCAGTTTGTGAGCGCTGACAACAACTATATTTACCAAACAAGAAATTAGGTGATCGATGCTGATGCCGACACAATGCAGTCGTTAATTGAATCATTTAAGATGATCCCAGAGTGAAACGCGATCTTGCGCAAAATTGATCACATCGTCCGCATAAGCGAATTACTTAATCGGGCCTGCCGAGGAATTCCAAGGCGAGGTGGCGACCCCGTGTGAAACTTCATCGAGAGAAATTATGAAAAGCAAACGGGAAAACAGATCTCCTTGCCGGACTTCTCTATCGGGATGAATATTAACGTCATTAAAAACTGAGGACGCGCAGCTATAATATGATGGCTGGTAATCCAACGGTATCGGGGGTGCTCCGAATACAGCTGCCGCTCAAAGTAAGCGGTGCAAAGAAATTGAATCAAAAGCTTTCGTGATATCCACTGCAACAAATACAAGTGGGATGCGAGAGGTGTGAGAATGACAGAGAACAGCATGGAGTATGGATGGGGCTTGGAAAGAGCTAAGTTTACGAAACAAGCCAAACAGAAGTTAGGCTGTAGGGAAAGCCGAGAACCAACGATCAAAGAAGAGAAGATGATGGAGGCATGTGGAAGACAGATGAAAATGTGATTGCACAGGGTTGATTAGGGAAGTTTGGCTGGAGGACTTTGGGTACGAAGCTGAAATGGGTTGCGCTACTAAGGATGGGAAATGGCAGGAAGCAGAAAGACAGTTTAGGGAAGAAGGTACAAAGTAGGGAGCTACTTTGCAAACTCAGTGGGCATGATGTGGTATATACCGGGCGCTGAACCCCGCATCTCGTTGAGAACATTTTGCATTTCAGCTAGGATAATTGGTTACACCAAGTCGTCATTAGCTGGAAGGAATGGACGCGGTGCGCGGTCCTCATTAGCAGGTGGCCTGGATGGGACATTCATCGAAAATTCCGTGAAGCCTGGAATGGTCTCGTCCTCTTAGAGAAAGTCGGTTTGTCATCTTCTGTTAATCACCGTAGTTGCGGCATATATTTTGGCGGGTATGTTTACAACGCTGTATAAGTACATATTGAAGGCATCGCCGGTGTTGGTTGTTTCGAATCGTAACAGCACGTACGCGTATTTTCTAGTACCTCCATCTGTATAGAAACTGGGTAATACACAGAGCGTTTAGGGCCTCACTAAATATCATCCTCGATCCATCCGTGACGATGCAATTCACCAGATTCAGATGCATGGAGTCTTCTGCCTTGGCAGGAGAGTCCCAGTTGGAGAGAAGCTGTTGGGCCACTAGCAGCAGAGTATGGAATACTGGTGTTGGTGCGGATGTTAGTTAAGGGACCGCACTTCACTTCAACATGTGCAACGCAGAGCATTATGACCTTGTCGCTGAAGTGAGCGTTACTCGTCCCCGACTGACTGTCAGCACCTTCATTCGTTGCGCTGGTTTTGTCGTAAGTAAGGTCAACTTGCGAAGTTATGTACTTCCGAGCGAAAATCGTTTGTGCAGAATAAACATAAAACTTTAAAATACATTATTGAGATCTAATACCATAATTGGACGAATACGAAACAGATTTAATCGCAGTATGACAAAATAAAAGCAATTTATCTCGTCTGACATGGTAAAAGTGCAATATGTGTATTTTGAAATTGATATTGGTTTTGCAGTTACTTTGATACGACCGGTTGCCTTATCACGGCAACCATGGTAGCTCCACTTAACAACAAATCGTGATCTTACCCGGGATCGAATGCAGATCAAGGGCTAGATGCAAGTAACTGGATGCATGAGCGCCACTGATTGTGCCTTTGCGCAACTATTGCGCTATTTCAAGGCACCCATCCAAAAGGAAGGCACACACTAACCTGGCCAAGCTGCAGACCATTTTAACTTAACAGTACGTCACCGACTGCCGACTTCGGATTTTCGCTCAATTTGGTGCATGAAAGCTTATAACACACGCCTAGCAATGCTGTCAGCGGGCAGACGACAAACATGACCTAGCCAAAGCTAGCATTTTAGATTAAGTATCCACGAGCAAGTCACTAGAAGTCATCATGTCAAAAACAAATTGGCCGACCTCAACACTGCTCATACGCTGTTTCCACCGGATGTGAGCACCGAGCATCAGACCCAGTATATCGTTTAAAGTCTTCACTACGAATTGGCCAGGTCTCTGACCCACATAATAGCACCGGTCACTTCGAAGCTTTATACGCCATGTTTTTCACTGAAAGCCGCTACCCATTTAGAGTCCCGCACACGCCATGCTAACACGTGTCGCCTTAATCGAATTACTCCTAATTTGCACTGGATACGATGCAATAGTTATATCTTTGTTACTGAGAATGGTGTCAGATTTGGCCTAAGTGAAGTTGCTCATAAAAATGAACGGATCCAACTGTGGTGAAACCTGATAAAGAGCCAGTACGGAGGAGGCATGGAAATTTGCTTGGTCTTAGAGTGGACCGTAAACACTCGTTACCTTTGTGAACCAATCGCCTTGAATGAGGTGCTAGCGAAATCAATAATGGCTACGCACATCATCGAACTAAAAAGGATGCGAAACAAGAACAATGTAAGCAGCGTTTCAGTCAACAGAAGTCGTGACAATGTTATTGTAAAGTTGGCAAATTTTTCGCTGCAGGTTTCTATCTGATCTACGGCTAAAGGCAGTGAACGACAAATCTCACAAAACCCAAGGCGATGGGAATCACAACAGCACAGTACAATAACACTGTGTCTGATGAGTCTGCACAACTGGGAATCAAGAAATAGGCCAGACTACTTGCGCTGTTGGTAGGATAGGTATTGGAAAACTTATGAGACCGAGACTGATACTGTATTTTAGAGCAATTAGGAAGGTGTAT